CCTCCCAATTGTTAAGTTTGAAGATATGATTTTCATTGCGTGACGTAAGTGCAAGGTCTAGTGAATATAAGATATCAATCAGAGGAAGAAGACAAACCACTACATTTACGGATTGACCAATTGTTTTAATGTTAAGTATACAAGATATTACTATAATGAGGATTATTATCCTGAATTATAGAGTTTGAGAGCAATACTATATTTACAATCCAATTCCATAAATTTTTTTTCATAATCGCAATGTGATAACTTATAATTGATCAGTTCGTAATGGGTTCTGTCTGTTCAATAATAGGTTTCACCCAGGGCAGAGGGAGGGGGGGTCAATTGACCCTCGTTGACTTTTAAAAAAATTTGCTATGTTTTTACAAATTAACCCCTATATAAAATTAAAATACCAAAAAGCTGCATTATATATTTATATCCAATAAATTACACTTTTTTGTTTTGGGGGTATGAAACTAAAAGTAAACCCTTCGTTCTCCTACGAAAAGTAAACCCATCATTTTCCCTCCCTCAGACATCGTCTTCCTCTTCAATAACCTATAAAGCCAATTCTTTTCCTTTAAGACTTTATCCACACAAGTGTAATTTTCTCCTCCTATCAAGCCAACAAGTCCATTTTTTCTTCAACGGATTTTTTACACATATCAATTGAATTTTAGCCCATGTATATAATGTAAGATATATTTAAAAAAAAAAAAAAAATTATTGCATTAAGATCTATTTCAATTCAATTTCTATTACTTTAATTTAATTTTTTTTAAAGTACTTACAAATTAGAAAAAGAAAGAGATATACTTGTGAGTTGTGATGTGTATGTATTGTTAAAATACTTTAACTTGTTAGCTTTATCAATTTTTGTAGTAGTTGTAATTTCACTTATCTTAATAATTATTATTGTATACATAAATTATTGTTATTGTTTGGTTTTACTGAGTATATAGTTTATTTTGTTGCATTTTTCCCTATCAAGTAATAATATATTATTGTTTTGAAATAGTATGGAGAGATATTTCAAAAGAAAGTCAACAATGATCTCATCATTTGAATAAGAGAAAAATATTGGTGATTCAAGTAAAAATGTGGATGTTGATTTGCGAGATCTTCTTACGGATCCAGGCTTAAGACCCCGAATTTCAGATTATGATCCTAATATTCAAGATCAAATTCGAAGAATATATTTGGAAAGAAAAATGTTATCCTTACAAAGACCCATATAAAGAGGGTTACAAAGTGACATCATGCAGAAAAAAAAAACAAAGTAAAAACGGAAAAAGAGAGAGAGAAAAAAAAATCATGAAAATCAAGGGAAAAGATTGTCTTTGTATGCCTCCTTTGTATGTGTCTTTGTAAAACTAGCATTGCTCATTTGGAAATGGGTCCTTGTCAACCTAAGGGCCATGAGTTTCCTTCTAGGTATTTTGGTGGATTTTCAAAACGTTTTGTTGTTTCTTGGTTTAGTGAATTTTAACAGTGGTTGGAATATAGTATAGCAAAAGATGCTGCGTTTTGTCTTTGTTGCTATCTTTTTAAGCCAGATGGTGATAAAGGGGGTAGTGATCGCTTTGTTGGTCAAGGGTTTTCAAATTGGAAAAAGAAAGAAAAATTGAATATTCATGTTGAAGGTTCTAATAGTGCTCATAACCAAGCTCGAAGAATGTGTGAAACATTATTAAATCAAGACCAACATATTCAGACATTTTTTATCGACATTCTTCTCAAGCACAAACAGAGTATCGAACTCGTTTAAATGCTACAGTTGACTATATTCGTTTTTCTCTAAGGCAAGGACTTGCATTTCGTAGTCATGATGAATCCTACAGATTCAAGCAACCAAGGGAATTTTCTCGAGCTTCTACAATTTCTTGCTAATCATAATGAAGATTACAATGCTATTGCTTTCAAGAATGCTCCTGATAATCTCAAATTGACATCACCTGAGATTCAAAAATATATTGTAAATGCTGCTTCAAATGAAACCATAAATGCTATCATTAGAGATTTAGGAGATTCATTATTTGCTATAATGATTGATGAATCTCGTGATATCTCTAGGAAGGAACAAATGGCTATTGTCTTACGTTATTTTAACAAGAATGGACTTGTTGTGGAGCGTTTTCTAGGTGTTGAACACGTTACTAGTACCACAACTCTCTCACTCAAGGCAACACTAGATAATTTCTTTTCAAGGCATGGGTTAAGTTTTTCTAGACTGTAAGGACAAGGTTATGATGGAGCTAGTAATATACAAGGAGAATTTAATGGTTTGAAGACATTGGTTTTGAAAGAGAATAGATGTGCTTATTATATTCATTGTTTTGCCCATCAACTCCGGTTGGCTCTTGTGGCTTTGACAAAGAACCATGATGATGTTAATGATCTTTTTAATATCATGGCGATTGTGGTTAATATTATCGGTGCTTCATCAAAGCGTTGCGATCTTCTTAGAGATAAGCAAGCTTTTAAAGTTACTGAAGCTCTTTCTAATGGTGAACTTTCAAGTGAAAAAAGTCTCAATCAAGAGACTAATCTACAACGTGCCATTGATACGCGTTAGGGCTCGCATTATGGTACACTAATGAGCATAATCTTGATGTTTTCATCTATTATCGATGTTCTTGAAATTGTGGCAAAAGATGGGTCAAACTCTAAGCGAAGATTTCATGCAAAAAACATATTTAAATTGATACAATCATTTGATTTTGTGTTTAGTCTATTTTTTATGAAAGATATACTTGGCTTTACAAGTGAACTTTCTCAAGCACTACAAAGAAAAGATCAAGATATTGTAAATGCTATGAATTTGGTTGAAGCATGTAAGCAAGCTTTACAATTGATGAGGGATAATGGATGGGAGACTTTATTAAACAAAGTTTATTCTTTTTGTGCCAATCATGACATTGATGTTCCTAATATGGATGACAAGTTTTTTATTCAAAGGCGATCACAACGTAAGGCTCAAGGTATCACAAACGTGCATTATTACCGCATTGAATTATTTTATAATGTCCTAAATATGTAGTTTCAAGAGTTGAATAATCGTTTCAATGAGGTAAATATTGAATTGCTTATTTGTTTGACATGTTTATGTCCAAATGAATCATTTGTTACTTTTAATAAACATAAATTGATATGCCTTGCCGAACTTTATCCTAATGATTTTTCTGACTTATAACTCATGGCACTTGATTCTCAACTTGATGTTTACATTTTGGATATGCACTCTAATGTCAAATTTATGGGATTGAAAGGGATTGAAGATCTAGCAAAAATGATGCTTGAAACTAAAAATGATAGAGTGTTTCCATTAGTTTATTTGTTGATGAAATTAGCATTGATTCTACCCGTTGCCACTGTTAGTGTAAAGAGAGTATTTTCAACAATGAATTTTGTGAAGAATCGTTTACGAAATAAAATGAGTGATCAATGGTTGAATGATAGTTTAGTTATACATATAGAGAAATAGGTATTTGATAGTATTGATAATGAAGTCATTACACAATACTTTCCAAAAATAAAATTCCGTCGAGGACAAATATAAATGTACTAGTTAATGAGAATTTTATAAATACAAAATTTATGCTTATGTTAATTTAAAATTGTATTGTTCTTTTAACTTTGATCCCCTTATACATTACTTCTGGCTACACCCCTGGTTTCACCTATCTAATAACGAGCTGTTATGTTAAAATTATAAGAGAAAATTTATAAGATTAGATTGATAACATCCATCTTTATTGTTTAGTTTTTGCTTTAGGTGATTAAATTTAAAAGCAAAAAGAAAGCTGCAAACTCAAGTCAAAGGAATAAAATTGAAGTCAATATTATTAAACTTGGAGCAATAGTGAGGCGGCCGCTCGGCCCTTACATTACCGACTTCAAAGGAGCCTGTCCAGGCCCATGTTACGAGTAGCTATGTGATGTGGCCCAGCTTGAATTTACGATTAAGATTTTATTTTATTGTGATTGTGATTGTGATTATTCATGTTTGGCTTTGCCATTGATAATTTATTCGAATAATATTCGTTTTAAAACTCAGATTGAGGATTTGAAGGAATTTGTAAAGAATGATGTACGAACATAAATATGAAAGGAAATCTATGTGAAAGAGGAAAGATAATATATTTCAACAGATTATTTCTTTGTAAGGGGTAAAAGAGAATAAATAAATTATATTTATTTTTTATTAAATATTAATTTATTTCACACACACAGAGGATTTTGTAATACTTTTCGAAATATTAGATTTAAGTAAAATTAAAATCGGTTTTTAGATGTAAATAAAATTAAAATCTTTAAAGGTATGCTGTAATAACAACCATTTATTTATATTTATGGGTTGACTAGTTTATAACACAAATCTTCTTGACTAAAGGTTTTAAATAATTCAGAGAATGTTAATATTATTCAATATGTTGATAATTCGATTAAGTTTTAAATAATAGAGAAAATTATTAATAATTTACTATTGTTCATTATACGTCTTGTGATCAATTTCTTGTATCCAGAATTTCATTTTTTCTATTTTAGGCAATTGTGAAAATTAGGAGAATTTGTATCATTAGATAAAGCGAGATAACATATTAATTGAATTAAATTATTTAAATTAAAATAAAAATAGTTAAATATACGGCAAAATAAGTATTAAACTAAATTTAATTTACCCTTAATGACGGCAACTTTAGATAATAAATCTAGGCGAGCAGGTTGTCATGATAATGGGATAAAGTAAACACGATACCCGATACGTATAACACCAATCAAATCTTTAATTAATCATAAAGATAATATTAACTTTTAGAAAATTTTGATTATTTTATTAAATTAAATAAAAACATACAGTACGATATTTACAAAATTAAGTTTTCGAACAGCGATTTGACAACCACAAAGTAAACACGTTCTATCCTCTCAAGCACATTCAGTATGTGCTATAATTACAACACTACGAAACATTAGTTTTTTGTGTATTGATGTAAAAGCAAACATAGTAGGCATGTTACTGAAAGTCCCAAGAAATTTATAATATTATTAACCAATACTCAGTAAAGGATGAGTACCATAACATTCTAACCATCTTCTCTCTTTCAATATATGTAGCAAAACACAACCACCAACTTCAACCAACATCATTCCCCAAAATCTATTCTAATCTTCTGAGAAATAAAAAACATTCAAACATCAAAACCACGCATAAGGTTGTTGGCATCATCCCCTATTTAAGCGAGAAGCTTAGGCTTCGGCAAATCTGGCAATTGTAAGGTAAGTATACAATCAGTACAACACTTGCCACAAAATAATCAAAGAAATCAAATACATTGGAATTTTGAAAAAGTGAGTTACCCGAGCTCAGAGAGCCTGAGATGAGCTTCTGCGTAATCAACAAAGAATGCATCCTCATCCTAGAAGGCAAAAAAAGCAACTAGGATTAACTTGCTAGCAATATTTGTTTAGTGGTATCTGCAACATTGTTTCATCAATACGGGATATTTGAACAGAAACAACAAATACAAACCGCAGCATATTTGTCAACCAATGGACGGAAAACAGGGTCGGTCAGAAGGGCTTTGTCAGAAGGCAATTGCAGAAGGCCGTCCTTCTCTCCGTCCAAGAGTTCCCTGAACAAAAAATACGCTTAAATCAAAATAAGATATCTACATATAATAATTGATTATAACGCCATAAATGAAAGAAGCTTACTTGAAGTAGGAGTTGTCAAAGATGAGGGGGTTAGGAGTCCATGCTCCCTCAAATCCAGACCTCTCCTTGTGGGCTCTTCCCTGTTAAGTTTTTCAGAGAAGGAAGAAGATTTCAGTAAAACGTTTCAACACAATTAACCAATTAGCAGATATTGTATTCCTAAATATGATCGTGAAAGACATGTTTCGAAAACAAGGAAACTAGCAAGCTTCAGAGTTTAATGCTAACCAAGGTGTGGCCACCAGAGAGAGCGACAATATCCTGATCACTAAGGCCCATGGTGCCAAAGACATCCCTCAAGTGGTCAGACCCTGCAGTAATTCAAAATTGAGATTCAAAATTGACAAAACTCGCCAGCTGGAATATCAACAGCTCAAACATAGAATTAATAAATGACTGTCAAAAATACTAACCCTTGGTGGCATCAGGAAGACGTCCTTCCGGAGGTGGCTCAGGCTTGTCCTGGGACGAAAAAAGAGCAAGTATCAGGACCAATTAGTCACACCAAAACAGTATGTGTCACAGATGATTAAATTAATATAAATAAATAAAAACACGGAAGTAGCTCAATCACTTCATTTCATTACATAATTCTAACAGATACTGAAAGCATGACCCAAAGAGACAAAATAAAGCAATTTGACAAGCCGGTTGTCACAAGAAGTTTGGTCACTTTGTGTTTCAAAACCCAATGAATGGGTTTTAACTCACTATAAAGGACAACAACCACATTACAAGACAGCGTCATTTTAGGCTAAGAAAGGCCGGCAAGATGTATTGACCAAAACAACAAACACTAGACTCCACAACACAATTAAAAAAAATTAAGTTCCAGAAACAATAATGTATTCCCACTGTTTAGATAATATTTGGATCATATAATATCAGATCGAATACTTCAAGGTTAGTCATGAGAAAAACTCATCCATTTTAATTAATTTTATTAAAATAAAACTATGACAATCAAATATACAAATAAATATCATATGAAAAAATTAGTAAACAAAACTCTACTCTACATAACTAGAACTAAACAGTAAACAATACAAATAGAGTGATGCTATGGGTACTAATGGATGAGTATTAATATGTGTACTAACTAAAGCATAGTACCCGTACTATCCGCATAGTACGGGTACTATGCTTTAGTTAGTACACATATTAGTACTCATCCATTAGTACCCAAAGTATTATTCATACAAATAAATATCTAAACAACTGAAAATAATAAATACTGTAATAATATAAATAACTAACCTCTCTTCCGGGGTGGAAGGGAACTTCAGGCCCACCAGTGATCTCAACAGCAACAACACCGGCCAACTATTCACAGTTCAGAATATATATATAATAAGAAATCAATCAAACGATCGATAACTACACAGTAGAGATCATGCAAAAATAGTGTTGAGTACCTGATAGAAGTCACCATAGCTGAGGATTGGGAACTGCTGCTTGATTGGCTCCAAAAGCCTGACGGCAATATCGAGGCCATTGTTTGCGCTGTGAGCCAACTCAGCAGGATTCTTCATGGTCCCGAATGGACCGCCAGTCTTTGTCTTCACATCAAAAGTACCAGCTGAGTGCCATCTGTACCACAAAACAAAATCAATCAAAAAACATACGTATGCTTATACGTATAAAAATACGCAGAAATGAGAGAGAACATACGCGATACGGAGCATGAGAGGAGCACACTTCTTCTCAGCGATGAGACCTCTGAGCTTCCTCTTGCATTTCTCAACGGCCTTCTGGTATTCAGCGCTAACAGTTGGGTAATTCTTGGTCATGGTGTCGAACGATTCTGAATCAAAACAGAAGCACACAAAACACTTAAGAAATGAGCAAAAATACTTCAAAAATGAGTAAAAACACTACAGAAGTAAGTCCAAACGGCAATCGATATTTCAAGAGGCCGATTTCAAAAGATCTGTAGCCATCACTGACCTTGAAAGCAGATACAGTGAAGTGATAAGATAAAAAGAAACACACGCTAGCACGAGCAGAACACAAGCTCACTTGGGGGAAATAAGGGTGATGATATAGGCTGGAGAAGAAAGAGAAGGTTCTAGTAGAATGATATTGAACGTTGATTTAATCAAATCTTGTGGCTTTCATTTACTTGGTCCATGAATGGGTAGAATTGAATTTGAAAGGTCTGATCTACGGTGGAGTTTGGGGGGTAGGTGGGAAATAAATAAAATTGGAAATTATAAATAATAAAAATAAAGTCAAGATTTATGGCAGGAAACGAGGTTTTGGTTTTGTTATTACCAAAAAGAAGGCTGGGCCACCTAAATGGAAAACACTAAACAGTTTTCATGAGATTTTTTAAATGACTTAAATGTCCTTTAATATGTAATAAAAAACTAAAAATAGAAATATTCAATGATTGATAGTTTTTGCTTCTTCTTTTTTCTATATTAAAAATATAATTTTGCTATTTGTAAAATTGATTAATAACAATTCTAACAGAAATTAATTATTGAATTAACGGCCGTTGATAAATACTAAATAATGGTGTATGATATTTTGAATGAAATATAAGCTAATTATCTAAAATAAGATATATCAATTTCGAAATACATTTTAAGGAAATAAGAGCCGAAAAAATATTATATAATTTCCTAGATTTTTAGTCCTTGATTGGTAATAAATAATTTTTTAAGTGTAAGAAGTCTTGAAAAACTTTATTTAACCAATGTGATGTCAATAATTGTCCTAAATTTAGAAGAAGAAAAAATATTGTTCAACATATATTTTGATCATTGTTTGAATGAAATCATACACTAGATTTCCATATACGTATTTTCTTATACCATTATCCGTTGAATAAAGACAAATTATATCAAATATTTTCAATCTAAAATTATTATTTTTTTATCAAAAACTTATATTGAAAAATCATTTTATGAAAATTATATATATATCAAGTAATCATCTTTATTTATTCCCACATAATTTATCAATTAAAGGAATATTATTATATTTATATGTCTAATTATAGGTTAAATAATTGTTAACAATATTTGCCAAAAAAAATGTAAGGTTATTTACGTCATTTCAAGCTAATAGTGAAGACAATTTACTTTATAGGCATGGAAATTATCTCCATCATCAGGTGTGAACGCGCCTAGATACAGAAGATTCCGTTCCAGCAATGATTCATTCACCTATAAATGCACAAAACTTTTTGTCACCCGTCAAATTTGATTGGCCGGAACATGTGCGCACTCCTTACCCTTTTCTCACTGCTAAAGCAAAGCTGCAATTTTATTGGCCGTTCGACTTTGCAGCAGCCAATACGAGACCGCTACGTGGAGTTTTATTATTCGAAATGATTCGAGGTCCAGTTCACCACGTCCACGTTGACACGAGTAGAAGAACAACGCATTAAGTGCTTCCAACGTGCCGCTTTCCACGTTGAATTTATAAAGTGTAATAATTAATTAGGTTTTAACATAAAATAATCGAATTGAAAGAATAAAATGAGGAAACAAAAACTTCTTTGATTATTTCCAATAATTTTTTTCAACTTCAAGAAAGCATTAATGGAATAAATCGTGACAGGCCATGATATGGGTTTTTTTTTTTTTTTTTTTTTTTTTTTTTTTTTGTTGTTCATTATTGTTTTTGGTGTTTTTTTGGGGATTATTTATACCATAATTTATTGTTTATTTATAGTTTGAATCTCTGTCTAAGTTGGTCTAAAAAGTAGTGTCATTATTGGTAATGCAAGCATCATAAAAGGTTCAAAACTGGACCAAATTGGATCCACACCAAGTCTCGCCTCTTATTATCAATATTACATATTCTTTAAAAATAAGGTTGTCGTTTTTCATGACTTTCTTTTTAGACGATTTTTTTTTTTTCTTTATGATTACAAGTATTCAAACCAATTTATATGTACTTCAATTAATTCTTAAGATCTTAGAAGTTAAAATTATTAATCAGATAAAGTTCTAGTGAGTAATCTTATAAACAATCAAAGAAAGATTTAAACTCATAATTTTATTTTTTCAATTGATTTTTGATTTTCTGAAATATTTAATTTGATTATAAATATATTTGAATTAATTGTCGTAGACTTGGGTGAAAGGTCTATCTGTCAACGGACCAAAAAGACATTCAATGAAACGACGAAAAAGACTAATCGATGTGGCTACTTGTTGCCCACATGTATTCACACTAGCCGTGATTTTTACATCCAATTGTTCCAAGTTCCATCATATCATCCATTACTATCAATTATCAAAGCCGTGGTTCCACTCTTCAATAAATACATATAATGAACCATAAACTGTATCCATTAAACCGTCTCAATTGACTAGGAGTCAAGATCTCCACTTCTTTTTTTTTTTTTCTAATCTTGTTTTTAATTTCAACCATAGGACTTGAAATTTCCATTGGCTAAATAATAAGCTGAATGGTGTTATTTAAGCCCCAATTCAGATTAAATTTATTTTAAAAAACTAATCTTTAAAATATATTATATATTATTCCAAAATTATCATTCTTTTCTATTAATTTTATTGCTAATTAACTTCTTCTTCCTCCTTGTTTCTCTCTCCCTTCTTTTATAAATCGGTAAATCCTTTTCCGAACAAAACTTCTTTCAACTTTAACTTAAACCAATAATTGATTTAAAAACAACCTTAAGAGATTGGTTTGACAGTCATGGAGGTTTGCTATCTTTATTGACTTCTTTTCTTAAATTCGAACTTTGAGACTTACTATATTTGTCGTTTACCTTGGAACATTAGGCTTGTAAGATGTTCAATAAACTACAAGGACTAGTCGCAAGCTGACCTGAACACTCTGATTAAAAATAAAAAATAAAACTAATCTAAAAACAATAAAAGGAGAAACCCAAAACTTTTTTATTTTCTAATCGTTTACTAGCAATGAAAAACCAAACTACTTTTTAAGTATCCAAAAAAAAAAAATTCAAATATCGTAGGTGATCTAATCATTATACTTTGAAACCATGATCCTCGTTTGTTTGATTTTTATTAAGAATGAGTTGAATACAATAATTAAGAGTTGTTCATAACTTTTTTTTTAACTGATATTTTCTTTAATTGATTATAGGTGAAAGTTTTGAAATTAGTTATTGTAATGCATTTTAGATTGTTAGGGTGCATTTGAATCGGGTGTATATAATATAATCGGAATAATCTTTGTTTATTTTGTAAGATTCTAGTGTTTGGTTTGCAAGCAATAAAATATTACGGGTATCTTTTATTGTAAATAGTGTTTACTATTGGTAATGTAGAGGGTAATCCAATACCCTCCCCTAGGGCTATTATTAAAAGATTACCAAGTAATATGATTTTCATTCCTATTTTGCCTTTAATTAAATACCATTTCAGACATAATTGCTCTCAAATGTCTACCAAATAACAATTACTCAACCTCCTTACATTTGAGAATTTAGCTAAAATACCATAGTCACAAAAAGTTTAAAAATGAACAAAATACCCCCAACCACCCAACATCACCGTCAGCCGTTACTCACCACAGTCGGTCGCCAGAGTTAGTCACCGTAATGTCTCAGAACCAGTGGGATCTAGCTAGTCATTCGCCGGTAAGGCCTTTTCTGGCCATGGATCTAGCAATTTCTATGGCCATTTCGCAGCCAAATATTCACGGCCACATCTTTTGTCGTGAAATGGTCATAGATCTAGTCGTGAAACAACCATAGATCCATAGTTGAAAAAGGCTTTGTCGGCACACAACCGACTATATACGACCAATCGTGCACCATTCTGTCGATTGTTGATAGTGGCCGACGATGGTGGCTTATTACCAGCAGTGGCTTGGGGTAAGTAGGGGTGATTTTGCTACAAATTAAAGTTTTAGATGACTGGAGTGTTTTAACAAAATTTCAAATGTAGGGGTTAAAAGAAATGGTTCAAAAATTAATAATAAAAAATAATATTGTATTAATATTAAAAAAAGAGGACAATTTAGTAATCTATATAACATACTCACCCATTTATCTTTTAAACCAAACATCTTATTCACCAATTTATTCGAACCAACCAAACACATTTCCTAAATATTCTCAGTAATCTTCAAGGTGATCTACCTTTCCATTAATATAATATCTCCCTCTAATAAAACATTATATGATCCAAACACCTCTTTAATGTCTCTTTTGGTAAATTTATTTAATAATATACTTTTAATTTAAAAAATATGATGAATGGGGCTTATAAAGAGTTGAGTGGGGCTCAAATAACAACACGTTAATGTTACCAAAATAATTAGATACATCTAATGGCTAAGGGTGTTAAAAAAAAAAATGTAAAAACCGAACCGAATCAGTTTTTCGAAAAACCGGTTTGGCTTCAATTCATGGAATTACATAAACTAGAAATTTGGTTCAGTTACCGATTTAAAAAAATTATAAAACCGGTTTTCACTTTAAAATTAAAAAACCCTAAATCCTTTTCTCTGTACTCTTCACTCTTTATGCGTTTCTCCTCTTTATTTTTTTTTTCCACACAAACACACATATTTCTTCTCGGTCCTTACTGATTTTCACTTTTCTCTTCTCTCTCAAAATAAAAAATAAGTTAAAAGGGAAAATCGATACAAAACCAATTAACCGGTTTTTACTAACGATTAACCATTAACCGGTTCAGTTTTGATTCAGAAAATCAGTTAACCAGTTATGAACACCCCTAGACATATGCTTTCAGGCTTTTAACAAAATTAATAATTATTCAGTAGTTATTTTGCAGTTTTTTGCCGTGATAGATTGAAGTGTTGTTATTCGTGCGCGACACAAAGCTCCTTCTGCTTATATTGGCCCGACCCGGCCCGACTTGATGGACTATAGATTTTTGTCTCACAATCTGATTGATATATCACGTACATGGCACAACAATAGAATTAAAATATTAGTTAGTAAGCATTAACCCACAGCCTTTTAACATAACTAAAGTTACATAAATAGTGATGAACATTTCAATAATAACGATAATTATAATTAAACAATTAAATAAAAATAAAAATATATATATGTAGTAGCAAGAAATATAAGAACAATGATAATCATGTTTGTGAGTACGAGGGTTAACGGAAAGGAAATTAGGT